TCTTTCTGCCCCCCCCCCCAATCCATGGTGCTCTTCTACTTCTGATCACAGCCTCCCAAGGCTCCTTTTTGTTTTAAAAAAGTTGGGAGAACATTTTATACAACAATGTATAACGCCTTTAAGAAGGCTGATCGCCAAAGAATTGATGCTTTTGAATTCTGGTGCTGGAGGAGACTCTTGAGAGTCTCATGGACTGCAAGAAGATCAAACCTCTCAATTCTGAAGGAAATCAGCCCTGAGAGCTCACTGGAAGGACAGATCCTGAAGCTGAGGCTCCAGTACTTTGGCCACCTCATGAGAAGCGAAGACTCCCTGGAAAACACCCTGATGTTGGGAAAGAGCACAAGGAGAAGGGGACGATGGAGGACGAGATGGTTGGACAGTGTTCTCGAAGCTACCAGCATGGGTTTGACCAAACTGCGGGAGGCAGTGGAAGATAGGAGTGCCTGGCGTGCTCTGGTCCAGGGGTTACGAAGAGTCGGACACAACTAAACGACTAAACAACAACATAACGCCTTTGGTCTGGTACTCAGCTGAACATTTTTGTTTATTGCCAGTGTGCAGAATACCCATTCACGTGTCTTTGGACTTGTACCAGCCTGTAAGGTAACAGTTGATCTGTCCAATCTTGGGCCCAGTTCCAGAGCAAGATGTCCATAGCAGGGTTCCCCTTCTGGTACCGCTCACCTTGATGAAACCCACCCCTGTGGCTTACAGGGCTACCTGCCTGCCCAGGGGGCTGGCACTGAGTGCAGCTCTGGGTCCAACCACCAGAAATCACCAGCACCACCCTCTTAATTGCTCCGGCCCCACCTGTGAGATAAACATAACCGGAATGGGCCCTAGGACCGCTGGCTGTTGCAGCAGGCAGGCAGGGTGCTTTATAATAATAGTAGTGGTGGTGACTAGAGATGGGAGAGCAATTCAGTTCAGTTTCCATTTTAATATGAACCCACCCAATTTGTGAACTAAATTACAGCTATCCTTCAAAATACGTGAGGGTGATTAGCAGGGGAATCTGAAGGGGAGGCCTGGAGTACCGTCTCACGGTGTATGTAGGAACAAGAGACATGGACGGCGAGGGAGCTCTGCTGCAGTAGCCTGCAACACCGGTGCCATGTTTATCTTCTTGCCTGAGAATATGCAGCAAGTTGCTGGAAGAGAAAGGTACAGCAACTTGAGGCCTGCATATCTAAGCTATCAGGCAAGATGAGGGATTTCTCACTAGAACAGAGTGGGCTGCCCTGACAGTAAGAGCTGTTTCACAGTGGAACAGACTCCCTCGAAAGGTGGTGGATTCTCCTCCACTGGAAGTTTTTAAGCAGAGGTTGGGGGGGCCATCTGTCAGGGATGCTTTAGGTAAGATTCTTGCATTGCAGAGGGTTGGGCTAGATGACCCTTGGGATCCCTTCCAACTCTACAATTCTATGATTCTATGAAAATCTCACTTCTCTGAATTTTGCAGTGCAGTACTCCAAACAAAAACGAGTACATCAATGCACAGTGAAAATATACCAAAATGCATTGTATTTGGGGAAATTCCCAGCATTGAAAGTGTATATTAGGCAAAATGGAATACAAAAATGTGTAGGAGATAAGCTCACTAGAATGCTTTTAAAAAATTAATTGGTATTAGTTTTTACACAAAATTATTCAATTCACTTTCAATATAATAATAGCTTACATTTTGATTTCCCATCCTTATGTCTGTTTTGTTCCTGTTGTATTCCTTTATCTGCTGCCATAGCTGCCATTTATTTTCTATTTTATCGTAACTTATATTACAATCATTTATTAATTCTCCTTCCCTTGCCTGTTATTCAAATCCTGCTTGTGATTTCATTTGACTATACAGTAGTTTTTTCTCAAATAGTCTGAAAAGAACCTCCACTCTTCAACAAAGTTCTCATCTTTTTAATTTCTTAATTTTGCTGTCAGCTTCACTATCTCTGCATAGTCCATTAACTTTAAAATTCATTCTTCTTTCCTTGGGATTTCTTCTTTCCATTTCTGCACATACAGGATTATGGCTGTGTTGGTAGCATCCATAAACAACTTACTTAACTATCTGTTTTGGAACCTCTGCCCCTAAAATCACCAGAAGAAATGCTGCAGACTTTTTGGGAATAGCTATTTTAAACATCTTTTAAAATGCATTATATCGTTTCCCAGAAGCCTATTGCCTTTCTACAAGTCCACCAAATGAAAAAAGGACCCTTCTGTTTGTTTATGTTTTCAATATTTGTTTGACGCTTTATAGATTTTGGCTAATTTTTTTTTGTGTTAAATACCATCTATATAACATTTTCCTATCATTTTCCTTTATTGCCTAGCAATCAGTAAATTTCATATCTGTTTTCCATAACGTTTCCCACGCTGCCCTCTCAATAATGTGCCCCACATCTTTTGCCCATTCTATAATTTGACCAACTCATATTTCATCTTCAATTCCATTTCCCATTTCATGTTGCTACAACACTGATGAATTTTGTGGCAGCTTTAAAAGAATTGCAAACTGATGCAGAAATGTGGAGAACTGAGATTAATAACAGAAAAATGAGGAAATGAGATAAACCAAAAATGAGAAACTAAAAATGAGAAAATGAGATAAACAAAAACTGGCATATTTGTCCATCCTCAGCAACAGCCCTGAACTCGTTGGTACCAGCATCTGGATTATGCTAGCCCCGATCTGACAGGCAGACATCAGAAGTGGGTCCGGCATAAGTTAGTGGTGGCAGCAAGCTGAGGTGCAGACACCCCTGGGACCCTGCTCAGTGGCGTGTCACTGACAAGCAGTGTCCCACTCCCCACTGACTTCTGCTGTGTCTAGGAAGGGGCTGCTGGCTGCTCACAGGAGCAGGAGCAGAAAAAGTTGTGGACATGGCAGCAGAAGCTCCTCTTTCCTGTAATATCAGTGGCAGCCCAGTTACATCTGTGGCCCGCCCCATAACACCTCGGCTCTTGCCCAGGTATGCCGCATACTGGTGCCACATCTGCCCAGTGAAGAAGTCCCATGATCTCTCCTTGTTTGTACTGGGTTCCATTGCTCTCAAATGCATCACGCTTGCAACTGCTTGGTGGTGCTAGTAATCCTTTGAAGTGTACTTAAGTGGAACGAATCCACAGAAAAAGCATTTCATGCAATACCAACTGGCTTTAAAAGGGTGCAATGAGGAAAATTTTGAGGTTTTACTATTAAATATATATTGTGGACTGTGTTAAATTGGCAGTTATGTTTCAGGTCTTGGATACTGTCAACTCTGAAACTTCTGTGAGCTATTTCAGTTTCTCATATTGAAAGGAAGATGGCTTATACATTTCTATCAAAGTGCAAATAATTCGGCTTCTTTCTCTGTCCCCATCAACATATCCAAGTGGAAGAAGACAAAACAGAGGCAAAGATGAAAAGTATCCTATTCAGCCCTTAGCAGGACTGGAGCTGAGCTGCCTCCTCTCTCTTGTTACTGCATTCTTTACCACTGAAGGGTCAAGCAAAAACAGGATGATTCCAAAGGGCTGTTTCATGCTGCAGCAAGCCAGGTGTGTTACCAGGTTCCCCACTGGCATCTGATTGGCCACTGTGAGAACAGGATGTGGAACAAGGTGGACCACCGGCCTGACCCAGCAGCCTCTTCTTAGGTTCTTGCATTAGGTTCACTGGTTTGCTTCAGCACAGCACATGAAAGCTGTCTAATGAGTATGCTAGAATGGCATGTGAATTTTTAAATATTTGTTTGTTTGTTGCATGCACACTTCACATTTTTAAGCGTATGTACTATGATATGTACTGTATGCTTGTTAGACTTTTGTCTATAGTAAGCAGGTTTAGAATACCTTTGTATTGTTTTGAAAACCTGCCACACTCCTTTGACTAGAGATGACAGTGGGGGGTGTACTGTTTTGTTTTTGGATTTTCGGTTCTATTTATTTGTGCTTTTATCCTGTATTTTTATCTTGTGGTCTGCGGATGAAGGGTGGTATATATTTAATAAAGAAAGAAAAAAGGAATAGCTGTGTGATACTGTTTGCTGCCAAGTGCAGCAGAGCCTCTAACCACTTCCAATGCTTTTAAATATTACACGTCTCTACTCTCAGTCTGCTGCAGGAACTTTTAACGTGGGCTCTTGTTTATGCCCCCAAACACCACAGAAAAATTGTAAGTGATAGTCGCAGGCAAACTCGCTAACGTATCTTGCAAATGCCATTAGCTTAACTTCAGTACGAAGCCCCAGTAGAACACCCTGCATGCAATGGTTCTCTTGCAATGTGATGAAAGACAGAGAATTTGACGATCTGGACTCAGAGGCCTCAGTGCATGTGTGTAACATGGCCTGGAATAATGGGTTGGTGCTCAGTACTAACACAGGATTGTTGGGAACAGATAAGCAACCAAAGAGCAGAGAAAGAAATGAGAGCTGCGCGGTACCGTCCCTGTCAGAGGCACTATGCCTTTGAATACCCGCTGTGGGAATTCACAGGTGAGGAGAGAGCTGTTGCCCCCAGGCCTGCCTCCTTTTGGACTTCCCAGAGGCATCTGGATGTCTGGCATCTGGATAAGAATTGCCTTTTAGCCAATCCAGCAGCACTTTTCTTACTTTCTTAGCTGGGGTGGGGGCTACTGGCAGAATGACATTAAAACCTTACGGTGGTTGGTACATCTGCTGCTCGGCATATAGAGCGAGGTGAGCGCCGCAACCCCAGAGTCATCCACGACTGGAGCTAACTGACGGGGTACCTTTACCTTTACATCTGCTGCTAAGAGGTTTTTTGTTTGTTTGTTTTTGCTCAGCAGCAAAAAGTCCCCAATTCAATCCCTGTTGTCGCCTTTTAAGGCTGGAAGACATCTCTCTTTCCCCTTTCTTCCTCTCCATATATATATTTAATGCATGTGTTTTGAACACTGTATTGCACTTCATTTATATGTTTGATGCACATCAAGGAAAAGTTCATTAATAAATTTATTGTTTTTTAAAAAAACATATCTGGACAGTTTTGTGGATGAAAAACATTTCTCAAACCATGCTGTATTCTTTTTTTTAAAAAAACACATCATTTTTATTGATGTAATTCAAAAATAAAATAATATAGATAGATACATTAACATAAGTGCAACATCCATGCACAAATAAAAAAGGTATTAATGGTATCAAGGGCACCTTTGGCATCAGTGTCACTGACTGAATGTGTGGCTCTGACTCTTCAGCATCCCCATTTTTCTGCACACTCATTGCAGTCTTTTCCCAAGTAAACACTTTCTAATCCAGCCAGAGACACAGGCGGGAACACAATGAAAGTGAGAGCCACAACCACGAGAATCCTTAAACTACCCAAAGCCAAGAACCCCAAATTCTATCCCACTGTATCTAACTGGTCAGGTCTGAAGGGGTTTTCTGTGGTTAATTCTCTCCAGTTGCATTTAGGAATCCTGAATGCATCAATAGCATATATTAAAAATGAACTGAATGGATTGAGACAAGTAGGCAAGTGGACTACCTACATTCCTGGGGGATATGTTCTGCTGGCTTTCCCCCAGCTGGCATTTGGACTAATCCCATCAGGCCATAGCTAGGGGTTGGGGAAGAGGTTCAAGTGACTCTGCTGTGTGTGGTGGTGGGAAAAGCAGAGATCAGAGGGGCTATCGAGTTCTCACTTCCAGAGTGGAACCTGAATACAATAGTGTCCAAAGTCCAAATGATCCTGTTGGTAGCCCTGCCTAGCACTATTTATAAATGCTTTTGTCCTGAGGAAGGCAGGATTGGTTAAGGCCTCCTGCAACTTGCTCTTCTCTGCAGAAACCACTGTTGCTCTATGAAGAGAGTCCAGCACACCATCCTACCCAGCTTAGAAGGGAGCATCATGACTGTCACATGGGTGTCTAATAGGAGCATAGATAGGGGGACATGGGGGGGCAGGGGGCAGCTTCCCCCCCAGATCAAGTCAAACAATAGAAATACTTAACTAACTGACCAATCATGCCAGTTCTGCCCCCCTAACAAAGTCCTGGCCACCCTAACAAAAATCCCGGCTACGCCCATGAATAGGAGTAGTGGGGAATGTCTTACATCTTCTGTTCTGCCCCTCTCGGCTTTCCCTGTGGCTAGAATCCTGCTCTTAGCTGCAACCGCAAGCATCAACAACCATGTCAGGAATGTCTGTCTTTATGAGGTTGCTATTGGGATCAAAGTAGAGCAGAGAAAGGGACCGTCGCTGTGTGGGGACGCAGCAGGACCGGCCAGCAGTCTGGATGTTGTTGGCTTTGACCAAGTTGAAGACAGTTGTGTGGAAGGAGGCTGCTACCCCAGGTGAGCCAGCCAGGTGCATGGGGCACTCCCCCATGCAATAGTTTATCTGATAACCTTCTGGCTTAAAGATCCAGTCATTCCAACCAATGTCCCGAAAGTCTACATAATAGTCTTTTCTGCAGCACAGGTCAGAGTTCTGGTCGCAGCTCAGGCTACGCTTAGCTACCCGGTGGCCGGGCTCCCGTATCTTGGCCTTGACCATCAAGAAGGGCTGTTGGGAGCTGCCAGTGGCAGTCAGCAAAGAGTCGATGGTGGGGTGGCAGCCTTCACACTGCAGCTCCAGGCACAGCGCCGTCTCCTCACGCTCAAGGAAGCTCTGCAGATCTGGCATGAGGGAGAAGGTGTGCCAGCTGCTGCCTTTGCTCTCCAGCTGCTGCCGCTCCCCAAGGGCCACTCGCTGCTGCCCTGCCAGGTAGACCTGCAGGGTGATGTTTTGGTGAGCCTTGAGGTACAGCCACAGCTCAGCCTGGAGGATGTGCATGTCTTGGCCTTTCGGATGTGTCAGCTGGAACTGGAGGACCCCGGAGGGCTCTGTAGAGGGGAAGACAATCAAGATGAAAATCTGAGGAATGCTAATCCTGACCTGCCCCAGAAAAGCTGCCACCATGCCTGAACCAGAGTCTGTTGATTAGGGTCAAAAATATGTCCAAGAGTTGCCTTGCCCTCACTTCACATTTATTTTCTACATTTGAATTGTGCCTCTGAGGAACCCCATGAGGTAGATAGGCTGAGGGTAAGTGCACCTGCGAACGTGTAGAGGGAGCAGCAGAACCCCACAAGGCATCCCCAATATCCCCATCCTGGCCAGCTGCAGCCTCTGACCTTTGTGCGTTGCGCTTCAAGCATGGAGAATCCTCCTAGTGATCATGCTGGTGGAACCAACAGAGGCAGGGATGCAGGGGCTGGGACTGGTGTGTACAGTGTGTACTAGTGTGTACTCTATTCCCCTTTCACAGTCTTTAACACCTGGGGAAATAATGCCTGACCCTAATGGTGAATAACATGTGCATGGCTCAAACTAAGCAATAATGGTCTTTCTAATAGATTCTTGTTGTTCATTGGCTGCCAAAAAATTCAAGCCCTGTACAAAACATGTGGGAAGGCAGGTTCTGCTGAAGCAGGCAAACAATCCCAAATAAATAAAGAACAAAACAATTAAAAACTAAAGGAGGAGACTGCTGAAATGAAAACCTATCTACTACCCCACACTGGTTCTCACCAGCTGTTCTTCCACCCCCACTATAACTCTCTTATAAAAAGCCATTTCCTCCACTTTCCTTATGAGCAACATCACTGCCCCCTTTTGGTGGGATAGCCTGGGATATTTTTTTAACCACTTGACCCAACAACCTTAGAACAATATGCCAAGAAGCTTGATTGCTTAGTCTCACTCAGCATGGGGTGGCCTACCAGCCAAACATGGACGGGTTTTTCTGGTAAATATTTTTTATTTGCAGCCAAACAGATGTTCAGCATGCAACACTAGGTCCAGGTGGATTTCTGCCATGCAATGGTCACAAAGGTCATTCCATAGTAGAAACAGCAAGAAATTGTACAAATACCTAAATAAATCCATGAAAATTCTGAGTGCTTATCACTAATACCACAATATGACCAATCACTCCTTGCCCGATGGGGGTGGGGAGTAGGCAACCTGCAATCCTCCAGATATTGCCGAACTACAACTCCCATCAGCGCCCCCAACCAAGTGGCCAATGGTCCAGAGATTATGGGAGCTGCAGTCCCCTGATCTAGACATTCTTCTGAGTGCACCTCACTGAGATGAACAGGAAGCAGCACAAGATCCTTGGTCCCTAAGTTCTCAGGAGCACACAGAAAGAACGGGGTCAGAGAAATGGGTGTGTGTGACAGCTGTGTTCTCCCTTCACTGCCAGAGGTGTATGGGTCTGAATACCCATTTGCTGGGAACCACAAGTGGGGACAGTTGTGTTGCACACAGGTTCTGCTTGCTTGTGGGCTTCCGACACGGGCACCTCGTTGGCCCATGTGAGAACCGGCAGCTGGACTAGACGGGCCATTGGCCTGATCCAGCAGGGCTCATCTTATGTTGTTAATTAAATTAGGCATCTAGCAAGAAAGCAACACAGTGGTGTGGGATATTCTTCCAACTGCCACCATTTGGAAGAATAGTAAATAACAGGCAAAAACCGACAGATGAAGCTTTCCCCCCACTGTTATATTTTTCCTGTCACACAGCTGTTAAAGGTATAAAAAGGGTAGCAACGCTACGCTAGCTTCATCCTGCTTACTAGCTACTTCCAGTGACCCCATCCTATATTGCACATTAAGCAGAGAGGGCAGATGGTGGCAGGAGCTCATTTTTAAGAGAGAAGGTAGTATGACAGCGGCGTCAGCATCACTGTCTGTGGCACACAGACTCATTTCTTTTGCCACAGTATAACTGCTGGTGGAACAAGTTTTGGAGGTTTTTAAAGAAGTTATAATGGCATGGAAATGCACATTGCTGCCAACACCACTTCTACTAATACCACCTTCACTCATCTCTCTCTCTCACTCAGGAAAAACATCTGTCTGCAGCCTGAGATATGCCACAGAAAACCGGATTAATGAGAAATTTAGCAACCTGTCCACTCTCACCACCACCACTAGTTCCTCCACACACATTGCCCTTCTCCCCCTGCAGTTGATATTTTCCAGCACAGTCAGAATCTACCCAGATCTCCCATGGGTAAGAAATTGCAGTGCAATGAATAACTACAACTCTCTGCTCTCAAGAGCACTTTGCATGCAGCAGTTATTTGCAGGGGGTGGGGGGAGCTGTTGGCACATGCGACTTACATTCTCTCCATCATAATATTCAAGTCCTGGGCCATGCACCAGGAAGAGCTATGAGGACTCACCTGTCTCTGCAAAACTAATGATCTCGTACCCCTGTTCATCAGGCTCGGGGTTCTGCCAGCCGGAGAAGTGCCCAAGTCTGTCCATCCGGGCTTTGCCCAGGTGCAGGCGGCGTAGGGCATTGGCCACTGCCCCACGTGGCACAGGGTGGGTGATGTTCGGCCTCTCGCTCAAGTTTAGTTTCTGCAGGATCTGCTGCTTGGCTAATTCGACCAGAAAGGCTTTCTCAGCACTGGGCTCCAGAGGCGGCACCTTACAGGAAGGACATGCAGGCTTTCCCTCGATCCAGGCCAAAGAAGTCCATAGTAGGGCCAGCGTGGCCAGAGGAGTCCAGCTGCCCTGGGGGCTGTAGGTGGGAGCCATGAAGAACCCAAGCGTGGTAGGTAGCAAGATACAGCAGAGGAGGTGGTTTTGTTGCCACGTAGTTCTTGTGACAGTAACTAGAACTCACGAACTGTGCCTGCGCTGGGACCAGCTGCTTGCATCTTAGCCTAAAAGGAATGGCAATCTGCCCTGGGTACAAGGAGGATAACTGCTAACCCCTGGCAACTACTTTGCTTCCTGTTGCTCTCCCTGCTTCTCGGGGCTGGGTGGATCTGCTGCTGGTGCCGAGTTGAAGCAGCTGTTGATCACTCAAGAGATCTCAGCTCATTGACTGGCTGCTCCAGAGTGTCAGGCAGCTATGTGCCTCAGTTTTTGTCACTCAGCCAGTCTGGCCCTGCCCTTTGTGCCTCTCTGATTGGCCGGCTCACCTAGTGCCCCAGGGAGGTTTCCTCCAGTTGGGGAGGAAGGGCTTAGCAAAAGGGGATTACAGGCTCCCTTTGGTGGAAACAGGTGTCTGAGGAAAGGGAACACAATTTGCCATGATGTAAAGCAAAGCAGGGGTAGGATTGCATTGGGAAGGGCTTTTCATGGACCCAGAGTGAAGAGGGGCTTAAGGCGGGAGAAAATGGCAAAGCATAGGGGTGGGATGTGGGAACAACCCCAGAGAAAATATGCATTGCAGTAGGCCAAGCGGGAGATAACTAGAGCATGCATCACTCTGGTGAGAGAGTCTGCAAGCAGGTAGGGTCTCAGCCTGCGTACCAGATGGAGCTGATTAACAGCTGCCCTGGACACAAAATTGACCTGTGCCTCCATGGACAGCTGTGAGTCCAAAATGACTCCCAGGCTACGCACCTGGTCCTTCAGGGGCACAATTACCCTATTCAGGACCAGGGATTCCTCCACACCTGCTCACCCTGTCCCCCCAAAACAGTCTTGTCAGGATTCAACCTCAATCTGTTAGCCGCTATCCATCCTCCAACCGCCTCCAGACACTCACACAGGACATTCACCACCTTCACTGGTTCTGAGTCTTTAAACTTTAAAGCAACAATTTTGAGAAGATATTAGTGGGCACAGAGAAAACTCCCAAGATACAGGTAAGAACAGGTAGAACCTCTAATCACATCTATCCAGCACCACAGTATGCTAGCAAGCAGACAAATTACTTAAAAGCCTTCTGAAATGATTGCTTCCTGGAACTCTCATCTTTCAGAAGCCACAAACTCCTTATCTGCTGCTGATAAATCCTCTGGTGATTATTAACAAAGGTGAGGAAATGTGTCTGTGATTATCAACTGGTTTCCCTTTCTGTGCCATGACGTCTGTGGCAGGTGAGGTGCCACATTATTTGCACTGCTCAGGGTTCCATCACCTTGATACATCAGCGAAGTTTTGCTCAGGTGCCAAGGTGCCTCGCTGGAGCTGCAATCTTAACTTCTATGATGGAGAAAAACCTTTGGATTGCAGTGCTGTCAGTACTAACAGCTTCTGTAACCACTTTTCTGCAGCTATGTTTCGCATCTGGAATATACATTGTAAACTAAAGAACCTGGGCAAATTTACTTCATTGACCTAACTCTGGCTGTGTAACTGGGGTTCTGTATTGCCTTGTCCTTTATTGCCCTGTCACAGGGACTCCCTGCTGCTCTGTTTCCCCAGAGAGTAGAATCACTTGGAGGAACAAATGGTCAGTGCTACATATTAGTAGCCTGACTGTGACAAGGAAATGTACCCCATCACATACCACGGTGGTGAGATTGTTGTTGCACCACCAGCAACACCAGAAATAACGTCAGTATCAATGCTATTTGTGAATTAAACTGCCTGCAAAGGCATCACTACAAATTCTGGCAACAGAAGGTGAGGCTTATTAAATCTGGAAAAAAGGGAGAGACATATTATTACAAATAATTGGTTGATTCAATACCTTCTCCAATGAGACTCAAGATGGTTTATATTCCATGCCCCATAAATTCTAAGGGGAGAAAACATTATTCATAATACTTCTTTTGAATTCAGTGGGAATGAAAAGCCCTGAACCTGGCTAGATAGCCCACGCCCTATTTTTTATACAGTATCCAAATGGTTCAAAATACTTACACAGCATTAAAATGGATAAAACTTAATTACTATTGAGTTAATTAGCAGAAGTCAAAAGGGAGTTGATCGCACGAGGCTGGGAAGTTCAAGATATGGGTTCTCTCTCTTTGTTGAGATATGCTGGGATTGCAAGGATGAGAGTCAAGCATGTGAAATAAATCACACTCCCATGTTTAATGCTGGCATCCCCCTGGTGCCATTGTCATGTTGAAGAAGTATGTGCATGGGCAGAGGAATGGAGGCGGTAGCCCTTAGCAGTGGCTTTATCTGGGGGGAAAGGTGGCGGAACTCACCACTATTGCCATCACTACCCCTCCCCACTCACACCACCAGCATGTGAATCTGAGTCAGGCAATTGTTCATCTAGCTCAATGTTCTACCAGGGGTGGGAAACCTTTTCCCTACCATTGACCTGTAAGAAAAATCATTTTGAAGCTGCAGCTAATAGCTGGTCAAGGCCAAATGGGCAGTGTTTGCTGAGCTGCAAGACTGCAGAGTCCCCTCCCCACAACAGAAAGGCTCAGTCTCTTGTGGGTATTAGGTTGTAAGCCTTGGGTTCCTCGTCCCAGTTCTAAACTGCCTGGCAACGGTTCTCCAAGAGGTTGCAAGTAGTTGTTCCCAGCCTCCCCGAGATATTCCAAGGATTGACCCACCTGGGGGCTTTTTCATGCAGCATACAAGGTACTGAATGGGAAAGGTCATAGTTCAGCGCATGTGGAAGGCCACAAGTTCAGTCAGCCTTTCCAGGTAAGGCTTGGGAAAACTCTGTTCTGAAACCCTGGTGAGCTGCTGCCAGCTGATCCAGAGGAAGACAGTCCTGAGCTACCTGAACCAGTGATCTGGCTCCTTAGGTGTTCTGTCAGGCAAAAAACCAGGCACTTTCTTGCATATTCACCTCTGGTGACTGAACACTGAATGGCCTAGTTTAAATCTGTCTCACTCGCTCTGTGTGTGTGTGTGTGTGTGTGTGTGTGTGTGTGTGTGTTGGGTTAGGATAGCGGGAGTGCAAATGCTTGCATACTTAGAATAATAGAATTGTCCCTGAGGATCATCTGGCAATACACCTTGCAATACAGGGAATCTGGGTGGCCACAGTGAGGAGATTGCTGGACTTAGATTGGCATCCTTTGGCCTGACCACCACTGGGTACAAAGCCACAAGTTCAGTCCCCCCAAAATGACTCCCAACTTTGGCAAAAACTGCTCATACCACCTCTGATACCATACATTTTTAGAGGACATGGGTGTACATAGCCCCATGTATGGATGGGCTCCAGAGTGATCTGTTCCTAAGAGGTGAAGAATATATTCAAAAACTTGAAGCAGATTGAGATGGGGCTAATAGCAGGGGCTAAATTAGGCTTTATTTCACCTGGGTCAAGGGCCCAATTTGGCACCCCACACCACCACCCCATGTACATTTGCACACACTTACACACAGCCTGGGAGCCTCAATGGCGCTCCTCTTGAGGCTTCACCCGAGCCAAAAAATCAATATGGACTTGCTTTAAATTTAAATTTTAAGTTACAAAATTTAAAAAGTGATTTTTTAAAAAATATGATTAACTTTTTTAAAAAATTATTGATTATTTAATATTTCTAAGATCTACCTGCAAAATTTCATATTGGGATCTCAATGAGATCACATTGAAAAAAAGTATTTTGTACATACATGTCTGCCTTATTAGGTTCTATTTAGGAAAAACGGGTCTTCTTGCAGTGAGTTGAATTTAAATTTTAAAGTAACTCCATCTTGTGACATTAAAACTCATGAAGTTCTGACGAGATTGGTGTTTTTAGTTTTGATGTATCTCAATGCTGGACTGAGCTTTTAAGGTTTTTGTGTAGTCAGACAAGGCCAAAATTGACACTTTTTTGAAATTTCAAGCCCTCATAACGAAGAAATGGGATGAGATAAAATGCTAAAATTCTAGATTTAAACTTAGTTTTCCTCATTCAACAAGAGTACAAAATATTAAGAAAATTGGATGACATGAGGTAAAAAAAGTCAGATCATTTGACATGGAATGACCCAGAAAGACAATTGCTGTGAAGATATAGGAAATCCTGATGAAATTACAGAAGCTGGATAAGGGGATTTCCAGGGGGCTTCAGTGCTTTCCCGTTGCCCTTCTGCATGATTACTAGAAGAACAATAAATTAACGTGGAGTGCAGAATTCAGCTTTCCTTTGTGCAACTTTTTTTAACACAGAGACTAGTATACACACTTGGGTATAACGTTCAGCCTCACTGTATGCTATTGATCAGAGCAGAACCAGCCACCAAAACAAGGTATCCCCTCCCTTTTACCAGGTAACTACTTCTGCCTTCTTGCTGCTTCTGTTTTTGTTTTGTTTTTTAGGTAGTCAACATGAGATTTCATTTTGTTCATATACAAGTATGTCATAAACTCATATGAAATAAGTTCCAGCAGCTCTGGCTCCTGGCCATTTTTTCTCAGAAAGTGGGCTTCTCTTGGAGGAGCAGGCTGGTGTTTTAGTTCAAACCAAATTCCCTTCCCCCCCCCCTTCTTTCATAGTCTTTCACCCACTGCAAGAAGCTGTCTCTGCTCTTAGAGTGCTTGATATACTCAATGTGCACATTAATTCTCTGGGCAAGAATCTTGCCCTTAACCTTCTTGTTTCACAATAATGCCCACAGCATGCTGGGTAATGTTGTATATCCTTCCAGTCTTGCCATAGTAACATTTGTGGGGCATGCCCTTTATGTCAACAAAAACACCTTTATAGATGCACAAGTAGGTGGCAAGAGGGACAACACCATGTTTGCGAAATTGTCTTGAGAACATGTAACGTGTCCCCTTCCTCTTCCCCTTGCTGTTGGTCATCTTGACGGATTAGGCAGGCAACCCACTCTCAGGGAGCGCAGAGTGGTGGGACTGGGAGCGGGGCGGAGACATCCCGCTCCCCCTCAGCCGTTGTTTGGAAGCAGTGCCCAGTTCTGCTTTCCCCCCTCCTGTTCCTGTTCCCCTTCCTTGCTGCTTCTGTCGTGTAGGAATTTGAACCCAAGACCTGAGACGTTGAGTCCACCAGTTGAACAGCTTCCACAACTGGCCTTGGCAGGGAGCAGTTCTGCTGACATTCAAGTATCTGGCTGTAGGGTAGAGGGGCACAATGGGATTAAAGTTCTTGGGATAGTTGGTTTTGGCTAGAGAAAGAGGCAACGTGCAAACATGGCTGTCTGGGAAAAAAACACTGGTGCAACATGATGCAACCGCAGGGCCAGGGCCGAAGTCCACAGCACTCTAAGTTTGCTGGCAACTCAGCTCCCAGAATAGGCCAGGAATGTAAATAGTTAGCAACTGACCCTGGCATGATGCCAAGGCACATGGCCTACGGTGCCAACACCTGCTCAGAGACACCAGCTACTGTGCACGGAAGAACTATTGCGCTGGGACAAGCTTGTTATTCATCACGTTCTACATCCTGACTCTGAAAGTGTCTGGTTATGTGGACCCTTGGCTAGGACAGTAGCCGAAGTCTGGGAGGCAAATGAATTACAGTGGTACCTTGGGTTACATACACTTCAGGTTACAGATGCTTCAGGTTACAGACTCCGCTAACCCAGAAATAGTGCTTCAGGTTAAGAACTTTGCTTCAGGATGAGAACAGAAATCAAGTGGCGGCGGTGCGGCGGCAGCAGCGGAGGCCCCATT